TAAGTGGGAGAACTTGCACAATTGGTGGCTGACTAAATACTTTTTTGCCCCACTATAGTAGCAAAGGTGCTACATCTAAGCTATCGGATTAAGGAGCATTTTTCATCATAAGCATGGGATTAAGAGTTCCCACAGTTACGAATACTGCAGCTACTGGGAATGCCCCCTAGTTATGACAAAGACTTCACGTGGGTTTGGCTTTTTGTTTCTGGCTCTGATTGCTTTCTTATCCATTCCCTTGATATCCACAGGCCTTTACTGCCTCCAGCATCCTGCGTACTCACATCCGCCAGCATTCAGGAGAGAAGCCCTTTAAGTGTAAGCACTGTGGTAAAGCGTTTGCTTCACACGCTGCCCATGACAGTCATGTGCGGCGCACGCACAGTACTAAAGATAAAGGCTGTACATGCACGCTGTGTGGTAAAACATTCCTAGAGGCAGAAGAATTCCGCTTCCATATGAAATTCCACACAGCTCTTTAGCCAGCAAAGTAATGGTTGGAGCCATCCCTGTTTGTCTTTCTGTGATATTATATACATTTTAATATTGTGCTGTTGGCATGATACTCACCTGTAGGCAGAATGAGCCAGTAAGGGGCATGAGGACTCCTGAGGTGCTGTAGACCTTGTGATTGACCTACATATCAATCACAATGTAGGACATTATGACCTCTGCTCTTTCAATCAATATATGGCCTTGTCTGTCAACCATTAATAAAGGTATTGTGCAACATTTCAGATTTTTTTCCTTATGGCCATCATGGTTATCTTTTACTTTTTGTGTGACCTGGGAAATAAGGAATTTGACTCTTAGCAATAGGAACCTAAACTGGAGGTGGACATACCAAGTGTAGCTAAAACTTCATTCTTTCAGAGGTTGTCCCTTCCAGCCATTAGGTAAAGTTTCTACTGATGTTTTTTTTATGATTATTTCTCTAGTATACCATCTTCAGCTTTTCGTTTTTATTTAGACCTGCCTTCAAAGTAACTTCTAGATTTTTTTTACTTAGGATGCAAACTGAAACTATTAACAGCACAAGGGAGAACCTACATTTGATGTCTGCACCTTCTTCCACAATCTCATCTTTTAACTGATCATGCAGACCTTGTGACCAATATCCATTAACTTCATTTTGCCCCCTAGCCTGTTTTCTGAAACATTTTGACAGAACTGATACAGCAGAATAAGCCATAGGGCAGCTTAATTGGGTTTGGTTTAGCATGTACTAACCCAGGCATTGTGACTTTTAAACCATAGTTTATGATTCATGTCCATTATAAAGCTGGATGTGGCTTATTTTATATTGGTTAAACAAATAATGGCTTAGCACAATAGAGAAACTCATCCTTTATGTGGATTTGGAGATTTCAAAAGTTTGCATTTTTTTAGTTGATCTAATATATTGTCTTAATATGGGTTCTGGAGTGTTGTACATTATGTTTGCTTCAGGAGAAAGCTTCAAGCATGTGTTGGTGAATTTAACACATGACAGTTCCAACTTTGAATTGGTTTTTAGAATCTGCAGTAAGCTAAGCACCACAGTTTTCCAGTTTGTGCAGTTAATGTGAAAATCAAAAAGATATTTCAGGAGAGAGTAGCTATTTTTCAAGTAACTCTACCTTCAAGCCATGAAATTCTTAATTTTTTTAGCTAGGTGAATGCTTAAAATTAGTTGGAAATTAGGGGCCATGGCTGAAAATAAAACCTACAAAATTAGCATGGGTTTGTGTGAAGAGAAACACAATTCTCCCACTATTGATGTCTGTAGGGCTGTTGTATCTGGGCTGCAAAACTTTAGGTGACCACTTGATGACAATAAAGAATTGTCACTGTGTTTCTAGAGCAGCAAAAATACAGACTTCTACTAGATAGAAGGAAAGTGTTTTCTATATCAGGGAAGTCTATATAGTATTTTTGCTGCTCTAGAAACATAGTATTGCTGTGGCTTTTCTAGATGAGGATACTAAACCTGAAGGGAATACTATGTGTTGGTTAGGGAACATTTGGCCTGTCAGAAGTTTGTCAGTACAGCAGAATGCTGGTTGTGGACTGCTGAAGCATAATCAGTTTTTCCATTGGTTTTTTTCCCTTCTACTTGACTGTCACCAAGGTGACTTGTAAAGTCTAAATTTCCCCTTCCAGTGTATCCTCAACTCACTGAATGCTGTCTACTGGCTAAACTAGTTATAATAACAACTGTCTACTTTCTTATCTCACTGACCCTCAAGGATGCTACTTAATTAGAGGAAGACAATAGAGCAGGATTATGTCTGAAGTGCTATATAAATAAATTCTCTTAGCATTGTAAACATATAATATTTAAAGTAAAAAAAACCCTAAAGCAGTAAACACACACACACAATTACAGGTGAAACTCGAAAAATTAGAATATCATGCAAATGTTCATTTATGTCAGTAAGGCAACTCAAAAGGTGAAACCAATATATGAGATAGACGCATTACATGCAAAGCGAGATATGTCAAGCCTTACTTTGGTATAATTGTGATGATTATGGCGTACAGCTTATCATTACATGCAAAGCGAGATATGTCAAGCCTTACTTTGGTATAATTGTGATGATTATGGCGTACAGCTTATGAAAACCCCAAATTCACAATCTCAGAAAATTAGAATAGTGTGAAAAGGTTCAATATTCTAGGCTCAAAGTGTCCCACTCTAATCACCTAATGAATCCATAACACCTGCAAAGGGTA